CCCCCAAAACCCCAAAACCCCAAAACCCCTAAAATAGTGAATTAAATTGAATTATGAAACTCCCATCCATTTTGTTATTTATGCCCATTTCTTCCTACCTGTTGCAACTTTCTTTTTTAACTTTATCTTTGTTTTGGGCTTTCTCTTGGGTGAATTCTTTTTGAGTAATTCTTCAGCAGCCTCAAGTAAGATAGCTTTGTTCTCTCTTAACTCTCCTTTATCCTGAAAAGTTTGAAGCTTATGTGAAGAGGAAGGAAATTTTTGAGCGTCCATAGTTGAATATCTATGATTATTTCTTCCATTCAAGCCTAAGCTACCATTTCTTTTCTTGATCTCATCCATGACTGTTTTCTCTTTTGTGTTATATCCCATCATGAAAGCAGCGCTTGTTTCATTTTTGTTTGGGCCTATCTGTTTCTTTCTTGGTCTACCATCAAGCCATGAGGCATTAAGGGTTTCTTTTTTCATTCCATTTTCATGTGTAAAATCATAACTAGACCCTTCTCTGGGACTACTCGTCATTTGGGCTTCATTTTCGATTTTATCAAGAAATTCTTGAGGAGATCCGTCATCAGACTTGAATAGAGTATTTGTACCTGACATATTAGTATTTCTTTGAGTTAATTTATCTTTTCTAAGAGGGTTCATATACACCCCAATTCTTTCCCTCTCTTTGATATCTTGGTTATTCACTTTATTGTTGTTCTTCTCTACAATGTAGGATGAATTGATCATGTCAGAGAGGTCTATTCCCTTCCCAATTTTTCTTTGATGATTGAGTGTTATCTTCTCTTTTTCCAAATTCTCATTAAATAAGCCATATTCAGACTGTTTGTAGCTCGGTAAGGTTTCTTTAATGAATGGTTTTCTGGAGATTTTAGGTCTGATCCAATCGACCTTTCCTAATTGTGTAGTTGTAGACATCTCTTTCGCAGGTAAACTCTTCTGTCTTGACATACTGTTGTTCTTGAAACTAAACCCTTCCTTCTGTTCTTCACTAGGAATTCGAGGACTTGTGAAGATGAATTGGTTCTTGAGAATTGGTACTTTATTTTAATTTCTCAATAATTTCTTTATCTTGCTCCAGTTCATTCAGCATGCCAAGCTCTATACTCTTTCGTTGGGATTTGAAGTTCCCAAGTGCTTCATTCTGAACTCTTTCTTTCCAGTGCTAGAAGAGTAAGGGTCAAGGAATTACAAAGTGCATTTCTAATTCTGATTTTGGTATTGATCTTCGGACTGCAGGCTCTGTCATTTTATTTTGATTCTTTTATCTTCAATCTTTTATAATAATTTTGGGGTTTTGGGGTTTTGGGGTTTTGGGGTTTTGGGG